CCGCATTGGTGGCATAAAGCGGAGCATTGCGAGTTTATGTTACGCGTCATCGCGCCTTCAATTTTGCAGACGCAATATGGACATCCATCGAACACGAATAGTTGTATCTCTGCGCCGTCATCATCATCGCGATTTGATGCATCTCTTATTATTGAACTTCGAAAAACGTTCAGGTTAAGTTTGCTCAAAATATGCTACGACGCGTCCAAATCAATAATCATTTCAAAAGGAAGAAAATAAGAAGAAGAAAAAAAGGTTGGTTGCCCCTTAAGCGCTCTAAAGGGCACAAGTCTGAAACTTGGTATTTTGGCGAGAGTTGTGTCGTGTCGTGGATTTTTTTTTTCCGACTACTCCTAAAAATTCCAAGCCGCGTTAAACTGACCCGTTTCTTGTGAGGGAGTCACATATGATTGATCAGAAGAGGGATGAAAAAGCGCCAGTATGTTAGGTACGAAAGAAGGTGATCATGCCAAAAAAAGTATCTCTAACCTTCAAATACATAGAAATAATAGAGGCAAATACTTTAAAAACTATCAAAATGAATGTCGTTAAACAGGGTCAGTTTGACCCGACTTGGGAGTTGGCGAATAAAAAGTCTTGGGCATCCAGTCAGATTTGCGAAAATTTTTAACCAAATGAATCAATGCGATGTATTGCAAGCAAGTTTGACCGCGGCCGGCATTCTTGCCAAATTGTGCTATAAATTCAGCATAATACCCCATTTAACTCAACGCAAAATATCCAGAGTTTTTCACACAACCCGGCAACTTTGACGACCAGAATAACCTAAACGTGTCCGATATTCTAGATTTTAAAACTTAAAGAACCCTATGAGAACTTTGAAGCTCCTTCAGAAATCTCTCCTTCAAATCCAGCCATTCCGGACTGTTCGTAGTTTTTCTCCAGGGGGAGGGGGAGGGAGGGGGCAGTGCAAGCAGACAAATCCGGCACTACCCCCTCCCCCCTTTCGCATACCTCCTCCTCCACCCTCTCGAAGCTTGAGAGATAATATTTTCCATCCTTTTTCAGTGCTTTTATTATTCGCGGGGCGGCATTCAGGAATTATCCGGGAAAAACAGAGAAGTTTATCGAGAATTTACATAATATGGGAGTGATTAGCCCTGCGGCCCTGGAGCGGGACTTTGAAATGGAGCCGGAATTCATTAATAATAACACTGCGGGAGAGGTGGTCCTCTCAAAAGCAGCTCATGATCGTTGCGGTGGCCCGCGCCTCCCACTCGCCCCAAGAATTTTATTGATGTTCGAAGCTTTGGGGACTCCGCTCGAAATTAATTTCATACACCATTGATGGCCTGACGAGAGCGGAATTAAAGTTGTTTCGCCAAAATATTCGCATGCGCGGTATTTTAATTTACTCGCATCGGGAATAGCGGGACCTCACTTTTTCACCGAACACCTTTGTATTGACTATGCGATGAGTGAAAAAGTGCAGTTGTTACGGGTAATCTAGTCAAACCGGGTAATGTCGGTAATAATTGACATTACCCAGGCCGTTTTGGTTAGGTTAGGTTAGGTTAGGTTAGGTTAGGTTAGGTTATGATACCCGCCATCCCACCCCTCAGTCGTCAGGGAGGGCCGCAGACGGGACCGGCTGGACCTAACCTAACCTAACCTAACCTAACCTAACCTAACCAAAACGGCCTGGGTAATGTCAATTATTGCCGCCATTACCCGGGTAATGTCAATTATTGCCGCCATTACCCGGGTAATGTCGACATTACCCGGTTTGACTAGATTACCCGTAACACAGTGATTTCGAACGGTTAAAAAACGGGTCAATCGTGCCCCGACTAGAGCACTGCCGTGCGGTGGAAGAACGCCGTATGAGCCTTCGGGCGTTGCCAAGTTTCCTTCGATAAATACCGAATTTACTGGGAAAATTTGAATATTTTCCCCCAAAATTTTCGGACTATTTTGAACGCAATTTAATCTAAAATATCTGAAGATTTTAAAGGAAAATGTGCGTGAATGTCGTCAAAAATACATGTTTTATCGAGGGAAATTTGGCAACTCTCGAATGTCATACGGCGTTCTTCCTCAGCATGGCAGAGCAGTGGCGATTCTCTCAAGTTAGTGAAATATAAATTTGCATCGTAGTTTTATTTTCTTGAAGCAATCTATATTTTTTTGTGATAAAAGTTTCATGCAACCGAAATATTCGCACCTCTGCTTGCGATGTTGCAAATCATCGCTATTGTTTTATTATTCCACAAGAAAAGTACCATACAATTTCTCTTTAAATTTTCCTCATTCAGTTAAAATTCTGCACCCTGAAAACTGCAGACTAGAATTATGAATAGTTTTTTCTTGAAACTACACTGGAAAAAATGTTTTTCGGGGTATAATTTTGGATTAAAGTGTCGTTTCTTGTCGGCAAAAATTGTTTTTCTCCTTTTTTTCAGTTAAATACACGCAGATTTATCTTAAAGTCAGTTTTTTCGAGTTAAAGAAACGTTATTTTGCTATCCTTACGTTGCTTTAAACTTAGCGATCTTTAGAATCACTCTTAACATCTGATTTGGATGAGATATGAGGAGAAAAGTCAAGTTAGATGTTCATTTTGACGTTCGTGATACTCTTTTTTCAGACCTGAGGGCGCTTGTGAAAAACAGTTTTTCATCTCTGTACCAAATTTAAATGAAACAGTATGACGATAGATGTTTTTGGAAAAGTTTAAAATTACGATATTTGACTGTTGAATTGTTATTGTTATACCGGAAAAGTCGCTCTATTTTTTAATTAATCAACAAAGGCGCTTGCGATACTTCGATTGGAACGTGACAATTCGTCGCCTACCTGACATAAGGGCGTAACTACATGCTGCAATGAACTCTATCCTTCATGCAATCCAATGTTTTTGGGGCTCATCTCAATGTGTAGTTACGCTCTTATGTCAGCCAAGCGACGAATTCAGTCCCCAGATAAGACAGGAATATTTAGCCAATATTTAAACAATATTGTTTTGGTATTTATGCAAACATTGGGCCAATATTGGTTAAATATTGAGCCAATGTTAAAATCGTACACCATCTTTCCTTTTGGCATAAATACTGTGCCAATACTTTGGCTGAGAATACTGTGCCAGTACTTCAAAGGGAAAGTATTTGGATATCAATATTGAGACAATTCTACACCAATATTGAATCAATTTAGGGGTTCACAGCTAGGGGATGGTGGAAAAGGGTTAATTGTGGAAATAATTTTAGAAACCATGAAAAATAAAAATAATGAAACCACTGGGATGTTATTGAATCGATTTTGCAGATTAGAAATTTTTCATCCACCTTGGGGATTGAACCCGGGACCTACCTAACACTAACCGACGACCCTACCGATTGAGCTTCACTAGACGATGTATTTTAGTTACTTAAAACCAGTATTTAACGTCGAGTTGGACGGGCAACTAGGATATTTTCCATCTGCCTGGATTTGTCCGTGTATTTATTTTACTTTTTACTTTACTATATTTTTTAAATTTATTTTATCGTTTTACTTTGTTTTATTTCCTTGCTGACTCTATTTTTTTCTTCACTCTATTTTTTTTTTTTTCAAGCACTTCATTTTTTTTCTTTAATTATTTACTTCTTATTCCTTTACTTTGTTTTGTTTTACTGTAATTTATTTTAATACTTCATCATAATTTTTTTGACTTCAGTTAATTCTTTAAATTCATTCTATTCTTTAACCTCATTTAGTTTTTTCCCTTATACTTTATTTTTTTCTTCATCTCAGTTTTTTTACTTCATCTCCTTGCTCTCTCTAATGTTTTACTTCAGTTTAGTCTTTGACTTCATTTTATCATTAATTTGATTTACTTCATTTTATTTCTCTTCTTTTGTCTCTGTTATTCTATTATTTCCACCATTCTATTATTTTATTTATTTTTTTCTCTTTAAATTTTTCATCGACATTCTGAGATGCATTTTGCATTTGATTGCAGTTTGATGTCTTCCTCATAAAGACTATGCAGGTGCGATTGCCATAATCTCACAGCTGCACAGCTACTAAGTGCAAGTTCTACAGGAGACCAATAAGCACACGAGATCAAGAATTTCTTCTTCAGTTGAATTTAAATGTTTCATTTGAAATTTGAAAAATAAAAAATAAACAACCAGATGTGAATGAATGATAACATTCTCATTCAATGATAATATTCACAACAGTACATGAACTACAAACGAAACAAAAAAAGAAATAAACTGAGATCACGCGCAAATACATTGAAAATGACCTCAAGGAGGTGGAAATTCAACAATTTCTTGGGAGGCAAAAAAATATATATTATATTATATTATATTAAATTTGACAACAACTGCAATAACCTTTATGAATAATAAGGTTGAAAATAATGGATAATTGTTCAGAAAGAACACATTTGAGCTACGTCTTAAATCTAAGCCTTATTATGTTTAATACTTTTCGTTATGGGCAGGCATTTAGTATGATGACTTATACCGATTAGGATATTGAAAATATTTTAAAAATATTTTGAATAGCAGTATTATTGTTTAAAATATTTTCAAAATATTTTGAAAATACTTACCAATGCATTACTGTCTTTTAAAATGTTTTTAAAATATATAATAAATATTTTGAATATAAATATTATATGTACTGATATTTTAAAAATACTCTCACGATATAAATTTTTACAGTATTGAAATACAAATATTTTGAAAATATTTTTATGATGTTTTGGGTGAACATATTATTTTTAAAAATACTGAATGATGATTCTTTAAATATTTTCTAAAAAAATAATTTTGATTATAATATTATCAAAATATTGTCAGTATTGTGTAAATATTGCGACAGTACTGACAATATTTGCCCAATATTGTAAAAATATTATGTCTTATCTGGGTCGAACTTGAACAAATCGCCGAGCATGCAAGCGTTTTTACAGGAATTTTGTAAAAAAAAAAAAAAAAAAAAAAAAATTCTAAATGAATGAAAAAAAAAAATCATGAAAGCATTACCTGCCAAGTGAGCACGTCATTGCAACTGTGGCCGAACGTCCAACCTACACCGAGGAGACAGATCTCAGCTGATTCGGTCATTAATATCTGTTGACACAAGTGTGCGTGGCAGATTCGCCACCACGTCGGAGACAAATTCGCCCCGATCCTCCCCC